ATTAATTTATCCTTCATTTTATGACATATGGAAAATAGTCAAGACCTGCGGTATCAGCATACACGCGGTTTGATTTGCTAGCGCTTGTACTGGCGGGAATTGCATAAACGGGATTTGATTGGCTGATGCCAAGCATCGAGCCTCAAAAGTTGAACATTGTTCAACTTTTGATGCCGATAGATGCTTGTGATGCTTGCAAAGCCATGCCATGCTCCCCACAATGCAGTTCGGCGAAGATTAAAATTCTTCTATGTCACCCCATTCAAGTGAATGGGCGAAGCGTTGAAAGCATTTTTCGATGCCTGTAGTGTAGACGGGCCGTTACCCTAACCCTAATCCTCACACCAGATACTGACTGGTTTTCGGACCCCCCCAATAAAGCAAAAATGCACGTTTCAGAGTGGCCTTTTATTGTGGCCAGCCTAAGGCACACCTGTGCAATAATCATGCTGTCTAATCAGCATCTTGATATGCCACACCTGTGAGGTGGGATGGATTATCTCGGCAAAGGAGAAGTGCTCACTATCACAGATTTTTTCAGATTTGTGAACAATATTTGAGAGAAATGGTTATTTTGTGTATGTAGAAAATGTTTTAGATCTTTGAGTTCATCTCATGAAAAATGGGAGCAAAAACAAAAGTTTTGTGTTTATATTTTTGTTCAGTGTATATCCCCTTGTAAAACCTCTTTGTGTCATCTCACACTTTGATTAAATAAACACTGTTTATAAGTGAGATTAAGAGGTGCAGAGCCATGCCCTTTACTAATCTTACGTATTTACAACACAGACGTTAAAGCTGTTTAATCTTCACACTTGTGTGATGCCGAGTACATGAGCGGAAGGACTTACAGATGAAATGGTCTCTCAGTCTGGCCAGCTTCACCACATTCTTCAGGTCATCATGACGGATCACTTCCCTGCTGCATGTGTCCAAGCGACTGTTCACTACCTTTGCAACATTTGTCCCTGAGGAGAACAACACAGAGCAGAGAACAGGACGATAAAGAACTCAACTCCACGGGCATCCTCTCACCTTTACCTTCATGCTTATGCTCAATTTAAAAATCGAAATTGACATTACACCATTAGATTTATGAAAGTGGTGAGATGGGATGGGTACTGAAACCCGGTCTACAGGGCTACATTTGAAAGACCATGGTATCGACAGGCTTCAACATTATCGGTTTTGTTATCGGTCCCGGAGAAATTTTAAAAATACAAATAAATTAGATTTAATATTTCTACATAAACATTATCTCACACATTGTCTCTAATAAACTCCGTTTCTAATTTGCAGTACCATTACAAAATGTGTCTTTGTTGCTTTTTCACTCATTCCAATCCATAAGAGCGATCTCTCTCGCTTTGCGGTAAATAATATTTTATTTATATATTTTATACATTTTCCTAAAATAAAGCAATGTTATTTCTGTTTTCAATTTGTTTAGTTTTTCCCTTAAAAAAATAGAAAAAATAACCTATAAGAATACCGTTAAAATACAGTAAGCAGTTAAAAAGATACCCATCCCTAATGGTGAGAATGTATCTATTAACTTCAAGTCACTCAAGTCTTTTTTAATATGCTGGGTGTTTCTCAATGTCGAGGACGCTTCCTTGGTAGGACACGTCCCTCCAAGTCAGGTCCTTCAGAAGCGATGCAAGAATCCTTCCTAGCCTCGGAAAACGAAGAATGGTGGAACAGGTTAACAGGTGTACATCATATGCCAGGCCCCGCCTTAAATGGAGCACGATTTCCGCCAAATATTTGGAAATTGGTCCGTGCACAAAGCATTTTAAGACTGGAGGATAAACCTGTGCAGCCTCGAAATTTCCCGCAACGAAGGACGCCGGCCTCGTTAGAATTCCAAGCATCCTGGACATTGGAACAGTCCTTCGGCGGGACTCGATGATGTAGCATCCTTGAAATAGTGGCTCTGGAGCAGCCTTCCTCAACATTGAGAAACACCCGCTGTATACCTGGGCATAAAAGCTCTCCCTAGATTAAAGAAAACATTTGGAAATGTGCTGAATGCTCAATTCTCCATTTCATCATGCCCTCTGAAAAGTCTATCTCTATTTGGTTTTGGATGGACAAGGTTTGTTTGACGTACCGTTCACATCTTTTATGTCTATGACTCCTCGTGAGAAGCAGCGTTTGAGGCGCTCGGCCTTCTCCCCCTCCACCGGCTCCAGCAGGGTGATCTCTGGCAGCAGCCGGTAACTGGCTGTGGCCACCGGAGAGAACTTAGCATGGTCCTGACCTGACAGAACACACACTTCAGTATCACTGCAGTAGCATCTGGACTCATAACATGATTAAAGTACATGTAATATGTGAGCTTTGTCCAAGCCAGCGGACTATGTCCAGACAAAGAATACTTTGTCAATGACAGACTCCACCAAAATAACATCTTTGCTTGTACAAAACTCTAGAATCAACGTTTAATTAAGATTTAACTGTCAAAAATGTCAGGGGGAAATAAAAACGGAAAGACATAAAAGGCCAGGAAAATAAAGTGCAAACTTATTCAAACTGAAAGTAAACAGAAACGCCCCTGGTCCTTCCCCTTGGGGACCATGCTCTTACCGATGCCCTTAACGCAGTGCATGATGATGTCCAGCTCCTGGCCGGGCCGCAGCTGAGCGATCAGGATGTCGTTGTGCACCGGTCTGATGACAGAGTCTGCAAACACGTCCGCCTGGTTCCCAATGGGGACCCACGTGATGTCGCTGGAGTAAACTGAAAAAAGACAGCAGAGGGGAGAAACATCATCAGCTTGTTTGACGTCACATGGAGAAATGCTTTCTGTGAGAATGTATCTGCAAACACCTGAACCTACCCATGTGGTTCAGATACAGCTCTCGTGGGTCAGAGGAGTCTTTGGTGGCTCGGGGGTTCCTACTGCATTTGATCTTTAGCTGCAGCTGAATTGTGTCTATTTCTGAACCTTGTTCCTCTGCAGACTCTTCACCTGGGAGATACAAAGCAGAACTGAAACATGTTCAACTCTTTGTGTTCAGATGTGTAGAACTGATGTACAAGATATTAGATATATTTCCATCTTGTATTTAATATCTTGTATTTATTCTGCAGCACTATTTAATTAACTTGTCCTAAAAATATTGCACACTACATTAAGTTGTTTTTAAAGATATTTCTTATGCCAGAGGCCTTTATTGAGAGATACAGTGGTGAAGGTGAGAGACCTGAAATGTTGTCGAGCCGGCTATTTTAATTGATTGTTTGTATATACAGGACTGTCTCAGAAAATTAGAATATTGTGATAAAGTTCTTTATTTTCTGTAATGCAATTAAAAAAACAAAAATGTCATACATTCTGGATTCATTACAAATCAACTGAAATATTGCAAGCCTTTTATTATTTTAATATTGCTGATTATGGCATACAGCTTAAGAAAACTCAAATATCCTATCTCTAAATATTAGAATATCATGAAAAAGTATACTAGTAGGGTGTTCAACGAATCACTTGAATCGTCTAATTAACTCGAAACACCTGCAAGGGTTTCCTGAGCCTTGAAAAACACTCAGCTTGGTTCAGTAAACTAAATCACAAGTATGGGGAAGACTGCTGATCTGACTGCTGTCCAGAGGACCGTCATTGACACCCTCCATCAGGAGGGTAAGACACAAAAATAAATTTCTCAAAGAGCAAGCTGTTCACAGAGTGCAGTTTCAAAGCACATCCACAAAAAGTCTGTTGGAAGGGGGAAATGTGGCAGGAAACGCTGCACAACCAAGAGAGATGACCGCAGCCTTAACAGCATTGTGAAGAAGAGTCGCTTCCAGAATTTGGGGGAGCTTCAAAGACAGTGGACTGAAGCTG